CTGCTGCACTCCAGCATGAACATAACTCATTGCAGCCTCAAGCTGGACTCAAGCAATCCTCCCACTTCAGCTTTTCTAGTAGCTGGAAATTCTTTAAGATTCTTTAAGATTCTTTAGCCCTGCTAAAGAAAGAAGGAAAGAAAGAAAGAGAGAGAGAGAGCAAAGGAAGGAAGGAAGGGAGGGACGAATGAAAAGAAAGAAAAAGAATGAGTGAGTCACCGCAAGCATTCATTTCTCAGAGTTCTGGAGGCTGGGAAGTCCAAGACGAAGGCACTGGCAGATTTGGTATCTGGAGAAGGCCCCTTCCTGATCCACAGATGGCAGCTTCTCTCTGTATCCTCACATGGTGGAAGGGGGGAAGGTCTCTTTGGGGTCTCTTTTATAAGGACATTAATCCAATTCTTGAGGACTCAGCTCCCATGACCTAATTACCTCCCAAAGGCAATTAGTGTCAAAACAAAATTGCTATGTCAAACCCTAATAAAATGAAGCCAAGAGGTCATGAAGAATGAGCCCTCACACACATATAACTGTAACAGAAATTATCGCAAAAAAACCCCTCAAAACCACAGTATTACAGATAAGCCACTTACACAAAGATAGTTACCTAACAGTTGCTGTCTCCACCAATAAGCTAACGCCAGCTCCTGCAACAGGCTCTGGTAACCAATGGTACTTGTTTTAAAGCAGTTTATGTGGAGTTTTTATTTTTTAAAAAAGTTCCTCTTTGCCCCAATCTCTTTATATGCATCTATGACTGCCGTAGCATGTGGATTCCAAGTTACAATTTCTGAACAAAGACAACTTCCTCTTTTTTGGAATAGAAAAGCTCAAAGCCAGACTGTTTGTTTTGTTTGTTTGTTTGTTTTGAGTTGGATTCTCACTCTGTCACCTAGGCTGGAGGGCACTGGCACACTCATGGCCACTGCAGCCTCGATCTGCTGGGCACAGGCAATCCTTCCACCTCAGCCTTTCAAGTAGCTGGAACTACAGGCATGTGCCATCATGGCTGGCTAATTTTTTTTTTTAAATTGCAGAGACAAGATCCCACCATGTTGCCCAGCCTGGTTTTGAACCTGTGGGCTCAGACAATCCTCTTGCCTCTGTTTCCCAAAGTGCTGGAATTACAGGCATGAGCCACTGCGCCTGGTCTATTTTATTGTTTTTTTTTTTTTTTTTTTTTTTGAGTTTGTGTCTCACTCCGACACCCAGGCTGAAGTGTAGTGGCACACTCATGGCTCACCACAGCCTTGACCTCCTGGGCTCAGGCGATCCTTCTACTTCAGCCTCCTGAATAGCTAGGGCTACAGGTGTGCACCACCACACTAGCTAATTTTTTTATGTTTTGTAGAGATGCAATCTCACTTTGTTGCCCAGGCTAGTCTAGAACTCCTGGGTTCAAGCTATCCTCCTGCCTCAGTCTCCCAAATTGCTGGGAGTACTGGCATGAGCCATCACACCCAGCCCAGAGAATTTATTTTAATGAAGTTTTGACACACTAATTTTCAAATGTAAAACATGAAACAAAGCATTCAAAAGACAAAAAAAAAAGTATGATTTATTCATTCTTCACTGTGGAGTATCTTAACTGTAGAGATTCTAATGTTTTTGGTCTTGGATGGATCCTGGGAGTCAGTATCCTTTTAAAGTTCCCTAAATGTTTACAATGTGCAGGCGTGATTAAGAAGTTCTGGGCCAGAAAACTAGAGTGTTTCTCAGACCAAACTGTGAATATGAATCACCTAGGACAGTGCCTCTCAAACATTAGTGTGCACACAAATCACAGGGGGTCTTATAATGTAGGTTCTGATTCAGTGCGGCCCATGATTCTTCATTTCTAACAAGTTTCCAGTTGTTACAGATGCCGCCAGTTCATGCACCATGCTCTGTGTAGCAAGGCCTAGGTTATTCGAGGAAATACAGATACTGGGTCCCACCTACCAGAGATTTTGATTGGGTCAATTTCGTGTGTGAGACCCAAGAGTCTACAGTTTAACAAGATTCCCTAAGGTGTATCTGATGCCCAGCTGGATTTTAGGAATTGCTAGAATAAATCATATCACATCAAACTACTCGTATCAAAACTTGGGAGCTAATCCTGGTTCTGTCATTAGCTCCTTAGGCGATTCTCTTCCCCTCTGGAGATTTCGTCATTAAGAAAAGATTAGAGAAATTGGTCTCTTAGGCCTCTGTGGCGCTTACGTTTGAGAACCGCCCAAACTGGCCAATGGCGGCCTGAGTCTGGGAACTACAATCCCCACGATGCCCTGCGCTCCCCCGCTCTCACGCGGTTGCGCAGGAGGGACGACAAGGGAGATCTTTCCCCCAATTCTTTGCGGTGGCTCAAGATGGCGGCGCTCAATGGCGCCGTGAGTGATTCGGAAAGCAGCAGCAGCAGCAGCGACGGGGAGCAGCTGGCACGGTGCCGGGAAGCGGCGATGCCGGCCTGGGACTTGAAGAAGGGCCCGCAGGAGGCAGAGAAACCAAGAAGCGGTAAGGGAGGCTGGCCGAAGGGCATGGGATCCCTTGGGGCCTGAGAGGATGGATGATGAGGGAGCCAGTGGGACTCGACTTCTTTGCCCGAGAGAGCTCCAGGGACTGAGTGGGTTCAAAGCGCGGTCGGTGCAGCATAGAGGATTATTTGGTTATCGCTGTCGAGGAAACAGAAGCACCTAAATGTCTCCTGTTTCCTTTGGCCCATTCTCACTGCAGCACATTGGAAAGGCCGCCACCTCTCTGAGCTTGCTGCAGCGACAGCCCCCTCTCCAGGATTACCTCCAACACGTTCTCCCACCCTGAGGTTGCCAAGGAGCTGAGTCCAACGTTTAACTGTGAATTCCTAGTGCCTTGGGAATAAATCCGAAACCCCTCGACATAGAGATACTTAACTGTGGATAGAATCCAGCGGGTCTTTGTGTTTGGAATACAAAAAAATTGCATTTGTATTTTTTTATTAATCTCTAACTGAACTTTAGCATATCTTGCCATCATGCATGTGAGTAACAAGCCACAGTAGTTTTGGCGATGTTACTTTATTCCAACAGAAGTCACAGATCTTCATACCTCGTTATAATTTTTGCAGCTGTATAAGATTTTGGGAGAAAATCATTTACATTCACCCTTGCTTTTAAAATTACACAGTTAGACTTATCTCTAGATCTTTTGAATGCATTAATAAAGCACACATATTGACATCACAAATTTAGTTGTTTACTATTAATGATGACTAAATTTCAGTGTCATTTGTAATCGTATATGTTGTATTTTATGCATTGAAAACGTTTTTCTGAAAGAGGAACCAGGTTTCACCAAGCTGTTAGAGAAGGCCACAGCCCAGCAAAGCAAGCTAACCCCTGCGTTAGTTTAAAAAGACTAACCCATTCACTATCTGCTTACCCAACAGGTATCTTTGTAATGAGTCAGGGAGCTGGGATTCCAGCAGACTCCCAATCTATTTGCTTTAGTTTTGACATAGTGGATTCCTAATTGGCAGTGTCAGGAGAAGTTGATATGAAGTGCTGGTTTGGACAAGTAATAGAACTTCTGGGAACTGCAGTTTATTTGTAAAAGGCCTGACTCGTAAGGTGGTTGTGAGTCTCAAATATGAACAAGTTATGGCCAGTGTATAAAGGGATATATACAGGAGACGTGGCATGCAAGATACCAGCTTTACAACTCATTGTTTTTGTGATACCATAAATCCCCTGCTGAATAAAGGAGGTGCTGCTGCAGATAATAGGTGCTGTTATTAATTGAGCACCTACTGTGTGCCAGGCAAGATGCTGGGCATTTGGAGTACATTGTGAGATGATCCTTGTAATAGCCAGGAGTTGAGAACTCACTATCTGGCCCTGTTCTAAACACTTTGTACTTGTCTGATTTAATCTTTCCAGCAATACCCCAAAGAGGATATCATTAGCTCCATTTTATAGATGACAAAGCTGATACTCATTAAGGTGAAGTAACTTGGCCAAGGTCATCTAGCTTGTAGGTGGCAGAAACAGGCATAAATCCAGGCCTATCTGACTCCAAGTTCATACTCTTTATTGCTATTGTGCCACTCCCTACCATGGCAAGTATCTGTTATAGGCAAGACTCCCACTCTTTGGTCCATGACTATGTGGAAATATAGGTCACTATTTTATTTACAATAACCTCTAGATACAGCTCTTAAATCCTGTGATGAGGAACTGGTCACCCAGACCCTCAAACCACTTTTAGAGAAGCATATACTTTGATTTATTTGTCCAACATTTATTTCAAATTGCAGCACTATACCAGAAGCTCTGGATACAAAGATAAAAAGGCAGGCCATGTACTCAAGTAGCTTACAAATCCAGGGAAGAGAAAGATGTGTAATCAAAGCATCCAAAACACTAACTCTGGAAGATTGATAGTCTTATCTCTATTTTATAGATGAGAAAACAAAGGTTTGGGGACATAAGTGACTTACTCAGGGTCATACAGCTTGTCAGTTGCAGAGCCAGAACTCAACTAAACTGTTTCCCTCTGGAGTCTACTGTTTCTCTTCCATAACAGTACTTCACATTCATTACTCTGTAGTGATGATGGAGATACTCTTCTTCCTTGTGATTGTGTGCTCAAGAAGAAAGTCTAGGTCTTTAAAAGGCTGTCCCTCCAAACCCACATTACCAATACCAGGAGCACTAGGTACTTTTTGCATACTGTGTTGTGCTCCAGAGCACAATGACAGACCACAACGTACTAGGAAACCAACAGAATGTGTATATATGATAACATAAACACAACAGTATCCCCTGGAGTTGTTTAATATATCGTGGCCCTCCATTGGGCCTAGAGTTACCGAGTGTTTGTTTTGTCCGGTTGGCCTCTTAAATATATGAGTACATTTTTTCCCATTATTCAAGTTAGAAACCGAGAGCTATCTTTCACATCTCTCACACCCTGTAGCCAGTTCATTGTAAATCCTGTTGACTGCATCTTCAAAATGCATCCATCCAGAATCCAGCCACTTCTCGCCACCTCAGTTATCATGGCACACTCCCTGTTTCAGCCTGTGCCTCCTGACAGTCTCACTCCACACAACAGCCAGAGATATTCTATAAAAGCCTAAGACTGTTTTGTTCCTCCACTCAGAAGCCTCCAGCAGCTCCTCATCTTCCTCAAAGCCCAAGTCCTCCCATTGGCCATGTGGAGGCCCTTTGTGATCCGGCCTCCATGAGTTCTTTGTTGCAACTGCTCCCCAGCTTGCTAACCTCCCTGCTGGTTCTAAGCACACCAGAAAGGCTCCTGCCTCAGGGCCTTTGCAGATACTCTTCCCTCTATTTGGAAGACTCCCAAATACTCACTTGGCTCACTCCCTCACCTTTCTCTCAAATCACCATTCGAATGTTACCTTACCAGTGAAGCCCTTCCTGCACACCTTAACATAATGATCCCCTACCTCCCTCTCCTGCTTTGTTTTTGTTTTTTTTTCCATATACTATTTGTCATCTCCACCAACTAAAATGTAAGCTCAATGAGGGCAGGGTATTTGACTAAGTTGTTCAGCAGTTAGAACACCTCGTCAGTAAAAAGCACCTGGTATTTGGTTGAATGAATGACCACAAGGCCAGGCATCCCTAATGTTTTGACCTGAAACTGTAATTGGCATAAAAGCCACCTTCTCTATCTTCCATAGCACTTAGCACACAGCCAGGAATCTGGAATAGGCACTCATTAAAATAAAATTACACTTAGACTTACGTGCTCAGCAGAGCATGGGTGGCTAAGAGGGAGGCTCTAGAGCAGATGGCCTGGGTCTTCGACCTAACTGTCACTTAGGTATTTTACGCTTTGACTTTCCTTCTTCTGCAAAATGGCTACAATGATAACCCCTTTAATGGGGTTGTTGGGAAGCTTCACTGAGGTATACATATAAAAATTAGTTAACATAGCATACAACAGATACTGCTCTTCATTGTTTCCTCCATAACTGCCACAATTTTCATTTTTCCACAGGTGCTGCAAATAACCAGTTGCGAGCCTCCCAGCCAAGCCTCAGGTATCATGCCCTTTGGGTTCATTCAGCAAACCTTGTGTGTGCCAGATGCTGAGCTATATCCTAGTAATATCCGAATGAAAAGATACACATCACCCCTGTGCCCCTGGGGGCAGCTTCTGAGCTGGCAGGAAGTGAGGTCCTTTTGTGTTGTAGGCACAAGGTGGATGAGCACGAACAAGATGGCAATGAGCTTCAGACCACCCCTGAGTTCCGAGCCCACGTAGCCAAGAAGCTGGGAGCCCTACTGGACAGGTAACCAAAAATGTGGCTTCTCTTTTCCTGCCCATGTTAACACGAACAGCAGTGGCTCACGTTGGCTGGGAGCTCACAGTTTCCAAGCAGGCATGTGACATGCATCCCCTCATTGCATTCATGGACAGCATATTGTATTGATCCTATTGTCCTTATTCTCTAGGCGAGGAGACAGAGGCTGTCAGCAAAGAGATGTGTTTGCTTGAAGTCACAGGGAGTGAGAAGAGCTGGGCCTCAAACCCAATCCCGTTTCTTAACTCCTGCGTTGTCCTGCCACCATGAGAATAAGAGAGGAGCCCCAAGAAGCCAGAGCCCATCTCCACCATGAGAGGGCAAGGAAGGGCTGATTTCTTATTTCTGCAGTGCTTTATATGTAGCAGGCACTGTGCCAGACACCTCTATCTTACATTCTTGGCACAGGTTGAAAATATAGTCTGTGAAGATTTAATTCAGCATTTCTAAAGTAGGTACCAAGGAATACTACCTGTCTGAGTCCATTCGGCAGCTATAATAAAATATTATAAACTGGGTGGCTTACAAACAACAGAAATTTATTCTCATGTTTTGGAGGCTAAAAAGTCTAAAATCCTAGGTGGGATTAACAATAGTCAAGATTTGCCCGGGGATGGGGGAGCACACCTCATCTACAAGGGTACCTGCACAATGAATATTTGTATACCTAACCCTGAACTGTACCCCACAATTTAAAAAAATAAAACAATCCAGGCTCGGTGGCTCAGCCTGTAATCCTGCGCCTTTGGGAGGCTGAGGTGAGTGGATTGCCTGAGCCTGCGGGTTCGAGACCCGCCTGGGCAGCGAGACCTCATCTCTACAATAAATAAAAAAATCAGCCGGGCGTGGTAGCACATGCCTGTAATTCCGGCTACTCGGAAGACTGAGGCGGAAGGATCGCCGGAGCCCAGCAGGTCGAGGCTGCGGTGGCCGGGAGCGGCCACTGCACTCCAGTCTGGGCAACAGAGTGAGACTCCAACTCAAAAAAAAAATAAATTAAATAAATAAATAAATAAATAAATAAATAAAACATAAAAAAAGAGTCCCAAATCAAGGCACCAGCAGATTCAGTGTCTGGCGAGGGTTCTCTTCCCGGTTCATAGATGGCACCTTCTCACTGTATCCTCAAGTGGTAGGAAGGAGCAAGGGGACTCTCTCCAGCCTCTTTTGTAAGAGCACAAATCCCAGGGTTCTACCCTTATGACCTAATCATCTCTCAAAAGCCCCACCTTAGGTGTGAGGATTTCAACATCATAATTTGAGGAGGGCACAAACATTCAGACCTTAACATTAGCCCAAAGTGTGACTCTAGAAAAAAGTCCCACAGCAAAGAAGTTTGAGAAACATTATAACTGCCTACCTCTATGTGCCCTTGGAGATTGAGATTCATAGTGGTATATTCTTCTGAGAATTCTTGTAGAGAAGAGACCTATGTAACTGTGTAACCTAGCATTTTCCAAACTTGTTTGGCCACAGTGCCCTTATTTCATAGAAGACCACTCAAGAAACCATGGAACATGTTTCAGGATACACTGGTCTAGATCCTTTCCTGATTGGCAGAGCCCTAGCAGGTTGCAAAAAGAAGATTAGGACTTGAGACCATAGTCTACCATTTGAAGTAGATACCTATATTACTGTATTTTGCATTGCAATAGAGGAAAACCTAAGGCTGGGCAGTTTATAGACAAAAGAGGTTTGTTTGGTTCTGCAGTTCTGCAGGCTGTACAAGAATGGCATCAGCATCTGCTTCTGGTGAGGGCTTCCAGAAACTTCCAATCTTGTTAGAAGGGGAAGGGAGCCAGAATCACATGCAAGAGAGGAAGGAAGAGAGATAGAGGAAAAAGTGCGAGACTCTTTTCAACAATCATATCTCAAGGAAACAAATAGAGCAAGAGCTCACTCATTACTTCAAGAAGGGAACCAGGCCATTCAGTAGGGATTCACCCCCATGACCCAAACACCTCCTGCCAGGCCCCACCTTCAGTATTGGGGGTCAGATTTTAACATGAGGTACAGAGGGGACAAATATCCAAACTAGCACAATATCAGAAAAGACAAATGAACCTTCCCAAAGTGTAAACCAACTGTTGTTCTGAGACAGAATTTTGGACTGGAGCCCGGCAGCCCAAGTCCCCACAAGTGTTAGTGCCAGCCCCCCAACTTGAGAATGTGGGAAGGTGTTTAGGAAGATCAGTTACATTTCAGCCCGGCGGAGCACAGTTTTTCTTCCTGACTCTTTGGTTTCAGGGTAAACAGTGCCCACTTGGCATTGCAGTGAGCCACCAGGTATGTTTTCCCAGATGGAAATCAGTCAACCATGGTCAGAATATTCCCTGCAGTGTTTTCATGTTTCTCTCCAAGGAGATTTAAATGATGCTTCACTTGGACCCTTGTATTAGATCAGGATCTCTCAGCCTTACACCGCTGACATTTTTGACTGGGTAATTCTTTGTTAGGAGTTGTCTGTCCTTCTCATCATGGGATATTTAGCAACATCCTTAACCTCTACCCACTAAATGCTAGTAGCACCCACCCCACCAGTAGTGACAACCAAAAATGTCTCCAGTTATAGCCAGATGCACCTGGGGACCAACACTGGACCACTGTGTTATTTCAGAGACTGGAGACTGAATGGCATTGTCTTCACCCCTCCTCCCCCGAATAGGGTTCTGGGGGACGACTTTGATGTATATGGAAGGAAGTCAAGGAAAGTGCCCTGTCACTGCTGTGTTTGCTGTGAGGACTTTGTTGAGAGCCTTGTTCTCTACCACACAGCGACTTCGTCATCAGCATTCACAAGAGACTTCCTTCCTGATCTTGCTGTCCCTTTAGAGAGATGTGGTTTATTTTTATGTTAGTAGTCCTGTGAAACTTGTTGCTTATCTTGATGACAATAATCTTCATCATCATCATGGCGACCAAGTACTAAGCACCTGCTTGTGGCCAGACTCTGTGCTAAGTGCTTGGTATTCATTTTCTCATTTAATCCTTGTGATGACCCTAAGACGTAGGTGCTGTGGTGGTTCCCAGTTATTAATAGGTAACAGAAACTCAGAGAGAAGGTCAGTTGCCAAAGGGGACATAGCTAATAAGTGACAAAGCCAGGATTCACAACCCAAGTCTCTGAAGTCTGAATAAGGCCAATGGATTGTATCAATTTCAACTTCCTGGTTGTGGTAGTTTACTGTAGTATGCATTGGACTCCCATTGAGAGAAAATGAGTCAAGGTTGTATGGGATATCTGTATTATTTCATTCTGTTACATGTCTGTCATCTTAAGTTGGAAAAAAAAACAGGTCTGCTTTGCTCTAGAAGCTGACCACTTGCTCTGCTCTGAACCACTTCTCTAGACTATTCATGGACCCTTCATGCTTGCTGCTAGGACTCACAGAGAAAAATGTAGCCTCTGTCTCTGGCAAGTGTATAGAACTTACTGACTACACTTCCAGCTTTCTCTTCCTCCTGCTCTCATTTCTCTTAGTCTTATTTGAAATTGCATTCATTTTGTTGTACTGTATCTTCAAAACTTCTTCAGCACTTTCTGGAATAACGTGAGCTTTAAACAAATGAAGCACTACAGTTTCAGTTGGCAGGGGCTGGTCAGCATGTTATGACCATAGACGTTAGCTTTCTTACCAGGCCAGCATGCTCTCTGCTTTTGCATACAAGATCACATGCCCCTCTCCCCTCCATTTATAAAAAAAAGTTAAATAATTTTTTGCTGTTACCTAAAAATCTCCTCTTTAGCCAGCCATCTCCTCTCTCCTTAGCTTTATTATCATCTCAGAAGTAGCAAAGGAGCCAGCAAAAACTGAAGTACAGAAAGTCACCTCAGAGGATGACGGTGAGTATTTGTTATTCTAGTAATAACAGCTCCTGTTTATTACACACCTACTGTGTGTCCAGAGCTGGGCAATACAGTTTTTGTCTATTACCTTCTTTTATCTGCTCATCCTCTGCTATAAGGCAGGTATTAGAATGATACCCCCATTTACAGACAAGAAAACTGAGGCTCTGAGAAATGAAGTCACTTGTCTGAGGCAGCCTTGTCTGTCTATCTGAGCAGGAGTCCTTGACTGCTGCACCTCCCAGCCTCTCCTGTCTGTGTCTCCAACTCCTTTGCCACTTTGGAGGCTGCCTTAAGTAGGGGGCTAAACTGTTGATTTCTAGAAGGCTCCGAGGGCTTGCTGACCTGATCTGGCATCCTCTCAAGTACCACATCCTGAATTGAACCTCAGGCATACCTCTCATCAGACATAGCATCATGTTGTAGTTAGAGGACTGTGATTCCCAGCTCTTTGCCTCTGGACTAGGAGGGCAGGCTCGGCACCTGGGCAGCCTCGGTACCTGGGAAGAGAGGTTGGTGTCTGGCGATGCTGACTTTGCCCTTTGGATCTTAGGCTTCCGCCTTTTCTTCACGTCCATTCCTGGAGGCCCTGAGAAGGAAGCTTCTCCCCCCTCCCGCCGCAAGCGACAGCCTTCCAGCTCCAGGTAAGAGCTCACACCTTCTCCTCATGCTTTCTCCTTTTTGCTCCTCTTCCATCTTGACCTTTTCCCCAGAATAGCCAAGCCAACTCCTGTCAGGTCCATGGCCAAGGAAGCCACGTCGTCAGGCAGCTGGAGACATACTGCATTCAACAGAGGGTGAAGAGGTTCTCCTGGGCTGTGGCTTTGGGTGTTTGTTGCTGTTTGAGTACCCATCTTGGGCTAGACACCTCACTTTGTCATGTTTGCCTCCTGAGACATCCCTGGGAGTCCTAAGCTCTGCTCAGATCCCCAATTATAGATGCTACTGGGAGTTAAAGAGGCTAAGTCATTTAGTGAGGTCATAGGGCTGGTAAACAGAGAAGCCAGTATTGGGCCCCAGGTCGGCCCCACTCTCAAGCCTGAGCTGTCTAGCTGCCTCCCTCTGTGGCCTCCTTCAGGTAGCCTGGATGAAGGGAGGGCAGATGAGACAGCCCCAACCCAACTTCAGCTAACCCCCACTGCTCTCACTTTGCAGCAGCAGCGAGGACAGTGATGAGGAGTGGCAGAGGTGCTTGGAGGCAGCTGTGTCGATATCCGACTTTCTCCAGGAGTCAGACATCCACGGTCCTGTCAGGGAGGAGAAGAAGGCAAGAAAGAAAAGGAAGTCGAAAAAGAAAGCAAAGAAGGCTGCCAGGGTCGACTCGGCTGTAACCACCGCTGTCAAAACCAATGGCGCTATGGTCCAGAAACAGGAGAAGGAGTCAGGCAAGCCCAACAGGGACCAGATGCTGTTTGGGATCAAAAAGAAAAAAAGAAAGAAAAAGGCCAAGAAGGCCAGTGAGGCATCTCTGTTCCCACCAGCAAAGAGAGCCACAGCTGTACCTGCAAACTGACCATCTGTGGGCACAGGGCCCAACTAATTCTGAGGACAAGGTACCCCCTGCAGATGAGGGATTTTCAAGCCCCACCTCCCTTTCTGAGTTCAAGGACTTGGCTGGCAAGACTGGCTCTGCCCACAAGAGCCTGATCATCATGGGGGCTTGCGCAAGAGTCAGGGCAAAGAAGTGGCTGTAGGGCAAGAAGCCTAAGCAAGGCTTGCTGCTCTGTGTCCTCACAGAGGGTTGGGGCACACCTGTGGTTCCAGAACATTCCATGGCCTCATGGAAGAAGGAGCCTTTCAGTTATTCAAGACTAGTGACTATATGATGAAGCTTCTATCTCTCCACAACTGTTAGGTGGGCAGAGGAAAAAAAACCTTTCACCTTCCAAGCCACCTTTTTAGCCTGCTCTAAGAAACAGCCTTCAGAAAATGAGAGAAGGGATCCCCAAGATGCCAAGGTGCAGAGAAACTTTTGTTCTTCTCCCCTTAACCCATGTAGAATTGATAGAACTGCCTGAAAAAAGGAGAGAGAAGTTTACCCCCTAATTTTCCAACTTTTCTTTGTCTACAGCTGTGAATATACCATACATGATGATGTCTCAGCCTAACCAGATTATCAAAAATAAACTGCTGAGGGGCCCAAAACAAAACTTAGAGTGATTTGGGTGTTGCCTCCCTGTCAGTGCTGAGCCTCGAGACATTTTAAACATCATCCTCCTGCCTGCCTCCCTCGGATATGTTCCTTCACCCCAGCTTCAAGGCTTCAGGAAGTCCTTAGCCCTTGTGGACTAGGTTTCATGCAGCAAGGGTATTCTGCAAGACAGAATAAAGTGGAATCTGGCTTCATTGCCTTCATGGTCGGTTTCAACAGAGCAAGAGAAGCAAAGACCTGAGGTGGGCAAGTGTGTGCGCTGGGACCTGCCTCTCTCCATAGGCCCCTTGCCTGCCTCAACCTCCCTCTGACTGTCCAAGCCCCATCTGGGTGATTTGTGGACAAGCAAGAAGTTTCCAGTACATCTTTCATTGACTTTACTAAAAGTTAAGTAAACATACAGGCTCGCCCTTGGCTGGCTACAAGCCATAGGGGCTGCTGGTTCCTTCCAGGCCTTTCCTTAGTCCCAGGGTAAAGGTGGTATGCTGAGGACCAGGTTCTCTGCAGCAGACCCAAGGAGATGAGACTACATGTGCCCTGGGTTCACGTGGCTGCTTTGTCTCTCCTGGTGGAACTCAGGACCTCAGACCCCTCAGAGTGGCCATGAAAAGCCCTCTGCCAGCCAAGCTCCCAGGTTTGAGCAGTAGTTCTGTCCACGCAGGTAGCTCCGCTTTGCTGGGCTCACCTCTCTTCTCCCTCTGGGCACCTCAGCTCAACCGGCTGCTCAAGCCTTGCTGCTTTCTGAGCTCAGCAACTTTGCCCCCCAAAAAGGATAGGGTCTGCAAGGCCCCAGAGTCCAGAGTTGCTGCCACGCCGGGACCTGGATGTGGCATGGGTCACAGGGCTCCCATAGGAGTAAGGATGACCTCCTAGCCTTGAAGTAGCCTTTCCAGTAGAGGCAAGAGGTCAGGCTAGCATCAGAAGATATGATGCTCCTGAGAATGAATGTCCAGGAAAACTAGAGGCCACACGGACTGGGGAGAAGGGACTGTTCAGGACAAGGGCAGTCGGGAGAGCCCTGCAGGTCTTCCCTGTTAACCTGAGCTGCCCCAGGCTTGGGCATCAGAGCCCCAGGCCCTGGCACAAAGTAGCCACTCAGGAAATGCCTGGTGTGAGTGGGTGATGGAGGGGTACAAATGGGCATATGTGTCACTAGCTGGAAGGAGCTGGGACAGGGTGGAGTGGCTTGGTGGGTATAGGTGACAGAACGAGGCCATGCTGAACTAGGGCCTTGGAGCTCAGCAAGTCACAGCTACATGGGACTGTCCTGAGACATGGGGTCCCGGGGCTTTCCACAGGCCCAGGCTGGGGGTGCCAGAGTAACCACCCAAGCAGCAGGGACAGTCTCTCCCACATCCTGCCAGGAACAAGCTGTGCTCCCAGCTCTCCATACCTGTCTGGGCAATCCAAGCAGCCCTCTGCAGGTTGGGGCACCTTGGAACCCTCTATCCCTGATGCTGGCAGAGCACGGTGGGGACCCAGGCACAGCACCCCCAAGCAGGTCATGCAGACTCCAGGGCCCAGCGCCTGGGGGGTGGTTGCCGTGGTTACTGGGAGGAAGAAGCCGTCTGCGTGGAGATGAAGGTCTCGATGACACTGTGGCTAGATGGCAGCAGGTGGCCGTGGCCTTGCTGGAGTCAGAGCTCTGGTATAGCACCAGGCTGCTGGAGGACACTGCAGAGGCGAAGAGGCTGCTGGCTGCCTCCCCATTCGGCACCCTGACCCACTCCGCCTGCCTGTCCCTGGGTACTCCATACAGGGGAGGCAGGGTCTCGCTTCTGGAATCACAACATAACAGGAACCCCAAAGTCAAACCTCTACCCTCAGTTCTCAGCAAGGGGAGCCTCCCAGCCAGGCTGCAAGGCTCCCCAGGGAGGGGCTTCCTCAGGACATTGTAGTGGGAGCTGGGACATGGCATGCCCTAGGAAGCTGCCACTACAACCACTAGGGGTGGGCAGAGGAACCTGAGGCTTACAAAGGGGAAGCAGTTTGCCTAAAGTCACAGCATTGGCCACCCCAGACTTCAAAGCAGAGCAGCCTGACTCCAAGTACCCACTCCTATTCACATCATAGATTGCAAACTCGGGTACCTACAGGCGTCATCAGGGCAGATGTAAGCGGGTCAAGTGGGATGTGGTGGACTGTTGCATGGGCATATGAGTCCTTCCAATTTTCTAAAAGAGGCCAGAAATCCAGATTTCTGTGTTTTGAACTCTTTTGAACTGTTGGTGACTAATTCAAAGAATGGTTGACTCTGAGCCAAGCCAAGCCCAACACATCCAGAGTCACTTCTGGCCCACAGACTTGGTCCTCGTTATTATCCTCTGCTGCCTCTTTGAATTACTTAATCTTTTCCTCAATTGAGTCAGTGAGCTGTTCCTGTAAGATAGGCCTAATTTTCCTAGGGTTGCCCACACCACTTGGCATGCTTCATGGGCACACAGGCCATGTCTGGGAGGCAGGGAGTGCCCTGCAATGCCTGCTGTTCCCCCTCCTGCCTGCCCTATGTCTACTGCACACACTGCCCCATGGTCCGACAGGGACAGCAAGGAAGGGGGTGGGGTCAGGGCCACTCACCTGTGGGGCTGGCACTGAGCCGGTGGGCAGGCTGCAGGTGCTGGATGCCAGCAGGGTCCTGGCTAGGCATATGGAGGGTGGTGGCCTGAGAGGCCGGTGTGTGAAGCCCGGTTGCACTGGGGGCCTCGGTGTCTGAGGTGAAAATCTGGGGGAGCAGAGCAGCCTCCTGAGCCCTGGGACGTGGAGGGGAGGCTTGGGCAGAGCCAAGGGAGATCTGACAGGTCAAGGCCTTACTTGCTTGGTGGGTGTGAGGCTGGCAAGGGCGCTCAAGTTGTTGGTGTCAGTGATGAGCATGGTCTGTGGAAGCAGGCCCATGTGGGTGTACTGGGCCACCTCGGGCTTGTGGCTGAAGAGGGCTGACCAGACGCTGGGAAGGAAAGAGAGGAGGATACAAATATGGCAAACATTCCTGGCCCAGGACCCTTCCGGGAGGTCTCAAGATTACATGCTTTAGGGGAAGTGGGGCCCGCTGAATGGCCCGACGGGGCAGTACTTGGGGATCCAGGGCTGATTTCCAAAACCAGGGCTGCCCGCACTAAGGGACCTGCTCAGCTGAGACTGGTGGGGAGGAGCCTGGAGGAGGCTAGGAACCAACTCCAGTTCCTCCTGTCGCCTGGAGGCAATGTGCACCTGGGAGGCACAGGTGCAGTGCTACTGTACTCAGCACGGGCTCCTGTACTCAGCAAGGTGCTGCTGTATCTGCAGGCACTGCTGCACTCAGCATGGGTGCCGCTGTACTCAGGGCAGGTGCTACTGTACCCAGAAGAAGTGCTACTGTACTCATACAAGCACTGCTCATACTAAGCAAGGCACTACTGTACTCGTGCAGGCATCACTGTACTCAGCACAGGTACTTTTTATATTCAGGGCAGCCTCTACTGTACTCAGCACAGGTGGTGCTGTACTCATGCGGGCTTTACTGTGCTCAGCACAGTTTTCAGAAAAAAGGCAGGTGGCCCCTGTCAAGGGACAAGCAGGGCAGAGGGCAGCACTACCTCCTCCATCTCCACCTCTCCCAACTGTAACCCAACTTTTCACCTACAGCTGCTCCAAGAAGTACACACCCCACACTAGCAAAACACACAGACCATGTATTCGCACAGTGACTCAGACGGCATACATACACAAATGCATACACTTTGAAGCATGTACACACAGAGACATACAGGTCACAATTCCTCATCCCAATTCTGAATTCCATAAAGGTCTGAAACCAAAAGGTTTTCGTGGGGTTGACACTGGAGACATGTGACAGCAGGATGCGACCTGAACCTGATATGAGGTAATGTGAGACTTTAACCTGCCTGTGGAATTCTTACCTTTTGCTGCAGACATGGCAGTGCTTGGATCACAGGGGTCTGCCCCAAACCCTGCTGGGAGTGTTATTTAATATCTGGTTTATCCACCAAATCATCTTTCTAAAATCTGAATAATGGTGAATTCTGGAATATGGGTAGCCCGATGAGTTTTGTGGCCTGCACTCACACATGGGCATGCACAGCTGAGAAACACCCAGAAACTCACTTGGAATCTGCTCACATAAGCACATGTGTGCACATACATGACACACATTCACATGGAAACATACTGTGGCCTGAAGACACTCACCCCCAGACACTCTCCATCGTGGAAGCATTCACACTTGTCCTGGACACACACTCAGACCACAATACCTGCCAGGCACTACCTTCCCCTCTGTATATCCACAGCCAGCCCCCACACTGCCTCTCCCAGCCGGGGTGCGAGTGGCTCACCATGGGGGCTCTGCAGCTGGGCCATGGTGGCCATGAAGGGACTCTGGGCTATGTGACTCTGCACGGGAAGCATGAGTGGCTGTTGGGAGGAAGGGTGCAGCAGCTGGGAGAATTGGACTGGCTACAGGCTGGTCAGGCTGCTGCCCATGCTGTTGATGACTGGCACACTCTGTGTCTGGGTGGAAGTCAGACCTGGGGTGGGAAAGGCAAGAGTCAGCCAGGCCTCCCACCACCTCTACTGCCTCCCCAGATCCAGCCCAGACCCCCTGGGGACACTACCCCTCCCTCCCAGAGCCACAGGTTGGAGGAGGGGGGAGGGGGCAGGAAACAGCCCTGCACTGGGACTTGCCACTGACTTAAGTGGTCCTGGGAAGTCACCGCACCCCCGAGCCTTTAGCTCCTCATCTGAACTGGTGGGAGAAGCAGGAAGTGACTTGTTCAAAGGTTGTCAGACTGGGTTCCCTGGAACCCTGGGGTTTTACAGCAGTGCAAAGGCCCTGGACTTAGTTCTGCGCTCCCTTCTCTCCCCAGCTCCCTAGCTGCCTTATATCTTGAGCTTCTGCATAATAGTGTCTACAAACAGCCAGGCTTGGTGGCTTATGCCTATAATCTCAGCACTATGGGAAGATGAGGCAAGAGGATTGCCTGAGCCTGGGGATTCAAGACCCATCTGGGCAACTTGGTGAGACCTCATCTCTATAATAAATCAAAAAATTAACTGGGTATGGCAGTGCACACCTGTAGTTCCAACTACTTGGAAGACTGAGATGGAAGAATGGCCTGAGCCCAGCAGGTTGAGGCTGCAGTGGCCATGAGCATACCACTGCATTCCAGCCTGGACGACAGAGTGAGACTCCAACTCAAAAAACAAAGTTGTGCAAATAAAGTCTTTCTGGGCTTACAGTGTTGTTTTGTTTTTTCAATGAAACCAAAAACCTAGAAAACATCAATCCCACTTACCTGCTCTATTTTGCCCACAGACTTTTCACCTTCAGAGGCCCTATATAATGTATGTATGATGCGTGCTATCTGCCTCCCCACTTGGGTCACTGAGATTTTGTTCTCTCTGTTCCCTCATGTGTCACTGACATAGCACAGTGCCTGGCCCAGAATA